GTTTTATTGTAAATCCTAATTTAAGTAATTTTGTTAATTTCATTACATTTGTTATTAATAAGGAAGCATAATAATAATAATAAAAAAATGAGGCTTTCTAAATGCACTTTTGATTTGCGCACCAAATCATTTTTAGTTTCTTTTGTTGAACTTAAAGGAAGTTCTAATATATATTGTTGGAAGAAATGTCAATGGGTGCTCTTCTCCAATATTCTTGTTTAGTATCTTGGACAAACAAGTCTCTTGTTTGTCTAGAAGACATTTATAGAAGTTTAGAACCACCTGCATGTGGGTAGGATATTTTCATTTTTGGGTAAACTATCCCTTTTAATGATTGTGGTCTAATCCAGAAATTAAAAACGCCAATATGTATTTTGACTTTGTTAAAAACATTCTTGTGCTAAAGATGCCTAACAATATCATTGGGTATATAAAGTCATTTATCCTTTGCTCAGAGGGAAACATTCTAATGAACAAATATTAAAGCTGTCTTTTATTATTCTGCTTGAAAAACTTTTTTTCTTCGACCAGAGCAGCAGGTTTGTTGGTGAGCATTGTTTTTGAGATCTTTATGACTTAAACATTTAACATAAACAGCATAAACATTCCAGCTCAAAGTTGAACTGTAAATCTATAATATCGCTGGCTCGTGATGTCAGCTTCAGTAGGATTATTATTTAATCAGCTGTGTTCAGAAGCTGTTGTTCATATTGGTCTTCAGGAAGTTGATTGGAAGTTACAAGTTAAAGGAATAGTTCACACCCAAATTTTTAATTTTGTCATAATTTATTCACCTTTTAGTTGGTATAAACGTGTTTAAGTTTTCTGTTAAAAGAAAAACACGTTTTGAATAAATGTTTTAAACCGGGTTTGATTTAATTTCATAGAGGTTGTTTTTCCAATGGAAGTCAGTGGTTACCTCGGTTTCCAACATTCTTCAAAAAAATGTCTTGGTGCCGAACAAAATAAAGAAACTCATAACAGTTTAGAACCATTTAAGTGAGAGTAAATCCACGTAAAATCATATTTGGATGAACTAATACTTTAATAAAAACAGGATGATGTCAAGCATTATGTACAAATTAAGATATAAGAGACAAGATTCATTATCATGCCTTTTGTGGATGATCTTGGGGGACTTTAACGAGTAATGCAGAAATCACAGATTTGGAACAATCAGCTTCTCTTGCTGTTGCTGAAAGCCTCAACTTTTTGCTCTTCATCTAGCTAACCCGCTGTCTGAATATTTCAGGCACAAGTTGGAACATATCATTCAAGATATAGTCTCCAGATTAACTCTAGAAATTATTTAAGAGTGATCTCTAACTTTGCTGTGTTTGTTTTCAAATATCTTGTTAAAGATTTTAAATCTTTTAAAATATATGCAACCCATGGAATGAGTTTGTTAAAGGGAAAGTTCACCCAAAACAAAAATAAAAAATAACTCACTATTTACTCTCCCTCAAGTGATTTCAGAACTTTGAATTTCTTCTGTTGGACACAAAAAAACATCTCTATTATTTAGATGTCCTCAACTGAACAGAGCTGGTCTGGTCACATAGTAAACTAAAAACAAAGAAAGAAAAAATGATCGTTGAAAAATACATTTTAAAGAATTACTACTAAATAAGGTTCTAAATAACCACCTAATAGAGCCACTTTAAAGTGATAGTTTACACAAAAGTGAAAATTCTGTCATCTAGTTTTTAACACATACGTTATTTCAAATCTTTTTGCTTTGTTGTAAAACACAAAAATATTAAGAAAATGATTAAAACAAGTAAAACCATGTCCTAACTACATGTGACACTATGCTGTGACACAATATAATGTTCCACGTTAAAAGTATTTTTGTTGTTCTTACCATCCTTGACACGCAAAAATTGGCTGAACAACAGCATAAACTATAACAATGATCACCTCAGCTGCTGATTATATGCTTGATACAGTGGTAAATGCCACTATATTAGTTTTAATACTATTTTATGTGATATTTATAGCCAAAGTGAAAGTGGCAGCAGATAGTTTACCTCAGATCTTTCATATAAAAAAATAACATGGCAAACATAAATTGAAAATGAAAGTTAGAATCATACTCAATACAAACCAACATGTAACTCAGCAAATACTTTTTATAATGTTAAAGAGGCTCAGTATATTAATTAGATTATAAACCATATTGTTTGGAGTGCAGTGCTCTTATCTACCCTTCTGAATTGCTGGTATTTAAATGTTTGTCTTCACACATGTGGAAACCAAATTGTTGTCGCTGGAATCTTGTTGCGTTGCATGTTGTTAGGTCATGGTGTAACCATTGACTATGTTTGTTTTTCCTACTATGTAACTCAAAATTTACAGGTTTTCAGCATTTTTCAATGTATCTTTTGTTTTCTACAGAAGAAGGAAACTCATAAAGGTTTGAAACAAGTAAAAGTTTCACAGGCAAAAGTTTTTGGTTGAGCTATCCCTTCAGCATCAAATAGGACTAATCAGTAACATCAAAATGTTGGAAATTGTACTGTAATTTTCACCTCAGACACTACATTTTCCCCCAATGTGACCGTACTGTCCTGACCTGATGACCCATGAATCTCCTTTCACTCCTTTCTTTGCTCTAACAATTGCAAAAGATTATTGAAAAGATTTGAAAAGATTTGCATTTCAAAACAGTGAATCTAGTATTTTGGTATTAATAGGTGTGTAAAGTCTATAGTGTGACGTCAATTTGAACTAGCGGCACATGACCGAGGCTGGATTAAAAACTGATGTAATGGTCTCCAAAAGTTTTTTTTGGTCTAGAAATTCCCTTTTGGTTAAAATACTATAATTCGAAATCATCAGATGGATCATTTCTGTGTTTGTAGTGAATTGTGTCTTTGCTCAAGAAAACAGAGACAGCCATTGTGCTGCAATCCCACTGCTTTAGTAACACAGACCCTCACATTCAAAGGCTAAATCCTGCTTTACAGGATTACAGCGCCCCATCCATCCATGTATGAGTGGGAAATAGGAGTGGGAAAAACCTATCAATCTGTACAAGTTTTTTATATTTTAAAATAGGATAATATAATGTATTATATTGTGGATGTGAGCAAAAAAAAAAAAAAAAACTTTGCTATGAATGTGACCAATGTGAAATCGGCACTTGTGTGACTTTGGTAAATCAAATCAAATTGTTTCAAATACAAGACCATCTGCAATTCTCACATGGTGGCCCACCGAAGCTAAGCAGGGTTGCGCCCGGTTAGTAACTGGATGGGAGACCACATGGGAAAGCTAGGTTGCTTCCAGAAGTGGTGTTAGTGAGGCCAGCAGGGGAGCGCTCAGTCTGCGGTCTGTGTGGGTCGTAATGCCCCAGTATATTGATGGGAACTCTGGACTGCTCAGTGAGCACAGTCTTTCAGATGAGACGTTAAACCGAGGTCCTGACTCTCTGTGGTCATTAAAAATCCCAGCATGTCCTTCGAAAAAAAAGTAGGGGTTTAACCCCGGCATCCTGGCCACATTTGCCCACCGGCCTCTGTCCATCATGGAATCCTAACCATTTATAGACTTCATCACTCTCTCATCTCCACCAATCAGCTGGTTTGTGTGGTGTGCGGTCTGGCCCAATATTTAAGTTGACATATGGGGTTGCTCCAAACTAATTTTACATTCATCCCACACAACAGAGCCCAGAATAAGATGCAAAACAACCCTTTTAGCGATTTAGTTATGTCAACTTATTGTTTTTGAGTACACATAACTACATTTCTGAAAATTGTCCATAAAACAAGTAATTTTTAAATCTTGGAGAAGAATAAATGTTATTTTCAATTAAAAAAAACAAGTTATGAAAACTAAATTAAACTTAATTTATGTTTATTTAGTATCCTAGCACCTTTCAACACACTAGCAACCACAAAACAGTGGGTCGCTCCATACCATCACCAGTTGGCAGCATCCACTTGGATGATGCAACAGCAGCCACAGGACAATGAGGCCAGTGCGCTCAACACACACCAGCTATAGGGGTAGTGGGGAGACAGTGATAGAGCCAGTTCAGTGGATGGGGATGTTTGGGAGACCATGATGGGCCGATGGAGGGAATTTGGACAGGACACCCCTACTCTTTACGAGAAGTGCCATGAGATTTTAATGACCACAGAGTGTCAGGACCTTGGTTTAATGTCGAAAGATCGTGCTCATTAACAGTATAATGTCCCCTTCAATATACTAAGGCAGTAGGACTCACACAGGCTACTGTTGGCCTCACTAACACCACTTCCAACAGCAACCTAGTTTTCACATGAGGTCTCCCATCCAGGTACTGACCAGGCTTAGTCTTGCTTAGCTTGATTGAGTAACCGGTTTTGGGCTGCAGGGTGATAAATGGCTGCGGCTAGTTATGTTTGAATTTTTTTCTTTTAATCTAATTGGAAAATTTAAAAGGTAATTTTAAAAAATGTATTTGAAAATTTGAATAACCTTTGAATAATAAGTTTTGATCTAGTTTCACTACATAGAAAATCTTAAGAAAAAAGCAGCAAAAATATAAATTCACCTTTAAAAGTTTTTTTTTTTAAAGACTTGTCAGTTCTCTGAACCCGTATGAATTGAGTAAAATATCATCTGGAAAAATGTAGCTGAATGAGTGTTATGTCATATAATTGTTTAATAATCTGCTTTGGAGTGTAAATGCTTTCCTCTCCCTCTTGGCTTTGTGTTTCAGGTCTATTTTCAGCTCATTGTTTTCACTGCAGCTAAAATTCAGTCAAATCCTATTGGTCAATGAATTGACAAACCCTCCCTCACATTTAACCCATAATATTATTACGTTTGGCCCACTCTTTCCATATTTGATTATCTTTTTCTTTTTTTTTTTCCTCGGGGTGAGGGAAGGTTACCTCTGATTAAATATGAGAGCAGTAATGCCATTGATCAATATTCACTTTGCTCTTTTTTTTCTCTCAATGTTTTTCGCTGATTACCATCAAATCTGCTCTCCATAATCTCATATGACGCTGTTAATCCATCAGAGGTCGCAGTACAAATGAGTGGCGTCTGCTGTTCCTCACCTCACTTCAGCAGAGCTGCAATCTCTCACAGGTATGGCTCCTTTTATTTATCTTTGTCTATTGTTTATTATTTTCTGATTTACATTTATATTGTTATATTATAGTATTTAATATTAATATTATTTCCTTATTGTTTTGATGATGGATACTTGTCTATTACTTTTAGATTTGATGTTGGTAATAAGGTAAAGTGAATTAGGGGACTTTTTAGCTTTTAATTTTTGCAATTGAAAATAATTATTTGTCACAAACTTTTTTATTAATTCAATTTATTGTTTAATTATTTATTTTTTACGCTGGACTTCTGAGCCTGCTTTTTTGATAGATGGATGGATAGATGGATGGATTGATGGATGGATGGATAGATGGATAGATACATAGATAGATCGTTCTAAATCTTGTTTAATTCTACTGACAGAATCATCTTTAATGGTGTTATTTTATTTGCAAAACAAATGTTTTCTATTAATTTTTAATTGGTTTTATAAAGTAGTAAGCTTAGTAGTAAAATTATAAACTTTTTATCAGTTTTTTTGTATTGCTTTTAATATTAGTTTTTTTTTGTAACTCTAATAATGGGGAAAGGAGGTAAAAAATAATGTGTTAGTATTATTATTATTTCATATAGCTTTCTGATAATCACTTGTCAGAAATTATAATACGAATCATATATTCTAAGTAAAACATTTTATTCGTAGCATTTGTTTAATTGTTGATATTATTGAGCATTTTATAAACTTAAACAAAAGTGTACATTATTATACTTTCATTGTGCTTTATAAAGTCAGAAATCAGAATTAAACATTACTAAAACAATACTCACAGCCTTTTTTAGCAATCCAAAATTAGTATTTTTTTATATTTAATATTTATTAGTGATATTATTGTATTATATTAAATTCTTGTTTTGGTATTTTATTAGTCTATTAGTGGACAAAAATACTTCTATATTTTTCAGATTATTTACAATAATGATTTGTCTTCAGGAAATTTAAATTTGCAAACATTATCATAATAATTCTTCTTTTGTTTCTCAGACAGCTGAAATTACTGTTTATAGTGTGTGTAAAATGTGTAAGGATTCTGAGCATCAAATTATTTGTTATTTGTGATTATTTTGAATTAAATTTATATTTAACTGAATCTTAATCAGCTTTAACTAATTTAAAATGCTAAGTTTAGGATAATGAACATATGATTTGAAGCTATATCATTTCCCAAGCCTTTAACTTGTTTATTTTTTCATTATTTAGATAAACTGTAATTCCCTTGTAATAAAAAAAAGGCATGTGACTGCAGCATTTTCCTTGTGATAACAATCTTTTTTTCCCCACAGAACGTTGCATTGAGTATTTGAAGCAATGGCGGTTGTTGTAAGTACACACGTTTTTGTCTTTATAAGAATAAAACAGAACTGTTTACATTATCAAAACTTAGCTTTAAGTGAAGTCTTAAGACTCTGTTACGTCACACAACATGTGATTTCATGCTGGTTCATCCAAAATGTTGCTCATTTTGCTAACAAATGTTCTAGGAACAAGGAATTTCTTAGTATTTAGGAATAGAGCTACGAACATTAGCTGCTAATCCTCAATCTCAGACCGGCTTTATGCAATTCATGTGAGTCAGCTTAGCATTGGCCCACACTAGCTTCCATTGATTAGCGCTACTGAATTCAAGCATGTGGATTAGGGTGTTTTCATGCATCTTTCTCCTTCTGTTTCCACAGAGTGGAACATTTCGAATGGTGTCCGAGGAGGAGCAGGCCCTTCGGGCGAAGCTGGAGCACCTCACGGTCAAAGACCATGGGCCCGTGTTTGAAGCCTCTACAAAAGTACCAGACCACACCATGCAGAAGGTGTGAGGAGATTTTTCAGATGTCTGAGTGTAAAAAAATAAACACAATTAGACAGAACACTGCACATTTTAGGTGTCAAAATATAAGTTTACTTGCTAATTCACTATTAGCTGCCATTGCTACAGTGATGCTGAGGTCACACTCCATTTTGATGGTCCGTTTGTTGAATTTAAGTTACATTGCATCTACATGCCAATTCATTCTCATTAGATTATAAGTAGACTCTTAGGCCGGGATTAGGGTTAGTCTAAGTTGACATGTACTTCCAAAGTTTCTTATAGTCAGTTAAATATCTGTTGATACTGCTTCTTCATTAATTAAGCAGACAGTCTAGCTACTAACACTCAAATGGACCATCAAAATCAAGTGTTACCAATGCTAATGGTAAATTTAAACTGCATGAAAACACCCAAGTGACAACCTGGTGAACATCCAGCATCATGGTGTCAGGTTTAGCTCAAGATCTTTTGAGAAAATGTGAAAACCAAGTAAACTAGCATCTTAGCTGTGTTTGCTAAGTAAAAGGAGATAGGCTATAAGATTTTTAAGAAAATGTAAAAATGTAGTACTAAACAATGTACTACAAATATGTGATTATAATATGAGCTAACTTACAGTAGCAACATTTGCTAAAGCTAGTGACACTATTATTAATAGTGCCAAATAGTATTAATCCAAATCAACCTAGTAACAACCTAGCAACTGTACAACATTACGTTGAAAGATCTGGTAAAATATTTGTTGGATGTAAAAATGTAACAATCTAATTTCAGGTACAATGGTGAGCCAAAGCATCACCGCAACATCTTAGCAAACAAAAATTAGTCTTGGTTATAAAAAAACAAAACACTAATAAACCGTATAGTTGTACTACAATATACAACTAGGTAATTAGTAAACCAAAGTCAAAGGTTTACTTCAATAAAACTATGGTAATTCTCATATAAAGTAAAGATCCAAATCACCATAGTAACAATCTAGCATTCATCCAGCATCAGTTTGTTTGAAAAATGTTAAGATTCAAATTGGAACTTCAGAAACTAGCATCTACTATCAGACCATTAATGGTGTTTGTGAAACTATTGATGATGCAACACTATTGCCCAAAACAGTAACAGCCCAGCAACCATTCAGAATCATGTAAGCCTATTATCACTACAAAAACTAACATCTGCGATTGAGTTAGCATGCTTCATTGAGGCTGATAAAGCTTTCTAAACATGTTTCTTTAAAAACAAATGTTGTTCTTGTGTTTTCATTTTTAGGCTAAAGATGAGCTGAATGAGACGGATGAGAAGCGAACGTCAGCTGTGAAGGAGCTCAGAGGAATAATCAAGGAGAAGGCAGAGACTGGAGATGAGCTTGCTAAAGGTGTTCAGGATACTTTTGGGGAAAAACCCGATGGCGTGCTTGTGAGGTTCATCCGTGCCAGGAAATATGATGTAAACCGGGCCTATGAACTCATGAAGGGTGAGTGGATTGGCCAAATGCTGTATTTGTGTCTGGGTTGTTGCAATATTGTCTGAATTGATAGGATTGTGAATGCTGAAAGGTACAGACAGGTTTTAATCCATGATGTCATTTCTTCTGCAAAGTACTCATTGGTAGTGGTTATATTTTTCAGCATGGTTATGATCCCAAACATGTTGCTTATGCAGTGAAATCATATTTGGAGGAAAACACAGTTGATGAAAACACTGGCAGTCATGAAATGGCCTCCACAGAGTCCAGAGCTGAATATTATAGGGGCAGCATGGTGTCACATAGGCTGAAATAAAACAAATTGTCAGCTTAAATATAAAGAATAACTAAACTGCTGAAACAGTTATTTAAGGGACAGTCTCTTTAAAACAGTTGAAGGTCTGTATGGTGCCAAGGAAGATCACATTAAAACCAACTTTTGCTTGTTTTTGTTTAAAGATTGTCCTTTTTTCAGATATTATGTATATATTTCTAGTAATTTCTGTAAGTATTTTAATAAAGAGACAGGCTATTAAATATAGATAAATACAGGGCTGTGAAAAAGTCTTTCCTGATGTATTATTTTTTCCATCTTTAATTTTGCAAATCCTCAAACTAATTTAAATATTAGTCAAAGATAACTAGTAAACACATCAGGCGGTTTTTTAACATAACTCTTGTTTATGACACCTGAGTTCAATTATTTATTTACTTAGAATTTGACTACTTTGTAGTTACATTAGGTTTTAAGACGGATGGAAAACTAAACAGTTGTTATTTTCTAGACTAATATGGCTGGGATCTATACTCTCATTCTGGCACAATGCTCAAGGGATTTTGTTGCCGAACCATGGCTTCAGCAGGTACAATGATATTACACAGCACCTGTAAATAGTGCCAAACTAATTAACAGCACTGTGTATTATAATTGAGTCTGCTGCAGCCATGGTAGCATTAAATAGGAAAATTATCAAAATGCTTTAAAAACGTTTGTACGAGATGCTTATGGTCTAATGCAATTCCATTATATATGCTAAGCTGAAGTAAAATGTTACCCGGAGATCATATGAATAGATTTGAAAACAGTTCAACTCTAAAGTACACTGTAAAAAAATAATGGACGTTAAACTACAGAAATTTCTGGTAAATTTACATTTCCAGTAAATTTCTGTAATTAACCGTCTATTATTTTACGACAAGTGTCTGAAATTTAACGGCTGCTATTTTACAGTTTTTTTATGGCACCCTAGCTGCCGCGGAAAAACTGTAAAATAATGGATTTTTTTTACAGTGTACTTAAAAAAATAAGCCTCATCTCATTGTTTTATCTCCCATTGCCTTTAAGAGTCAGTTGTGCCGCACAATGGCGCATTTGCTTTCTCTCTATCGTGGATAAGGAAACGGTGTTGCAGGCTAAGCACAGACATCCATTAGCCTACATAATTAATTTTGTTTGTTAAGTGCAAAAATTTGTTTTAAAACTATTTATAAATTTTGTTCTAATTTTAAGGAAACAAATAAATGAACAATAATAACGAAGTGTAGTCAAAAAATTGAGTTATATCCAAAAACACTTGCCCCATATGGTGTAAAACCAAAACAGGTGGACAAATCGAAGCTTCTTTTTAATTAAACAGATATAAATATGCATATGATAAATAATACTGCTAATCATATTAAGATTATACAAAAGCAAATTGTCATGTATAAACTTAAAATAGCAATGTGTAAGAGAGGCACACAACTAACACACTCTGTGCTGGACTTTAGACCGGCTTTCAGCTGGTCTATTGAACAGTCTATTTTAGTTCCTCAAAATAGCAACGAGCCAGCAACGCGCCTGAACACATCTCTTTTCTAGACTGAAACACCCATGAGTCCACAAAGTGATGTAAATGGATTTGTTATTTAAACAGCGTGGCGGAAAACAGGAAAATTAAGGTTGCATAGGTCTAAAAAAAATAGCAACACATTGGGGCAAACACTTCTTCAGCCTTTTTGAGCCGGATGTATGATAGGGCCCAATGACTGTGGACCATCTGTGATTAGACATGGGCTAATCAAAAACATTATGATCATGATTTTCAATACTAATACCATTACTGCACACTGTCAGCTTACACTATACTAGTATCATTTGTTGTTTGCTTTTGGCATCTGATAGAGCTTTTGGGCCCATAAACTGTGATGTTGTATTTAACATGCAGATTGGTTATATTTTCCCGAAGGTTATGTGCGCTTCAGACGGGATTATCCTGAACTTTTTGAAAACTTGACTCCGGAGGCTGTGCGCAGCACCATTGAGGCCGGATACCCAGGAATCCTATCCAGCAGAGACAAATATGGCCGCGTGGTGCTACTCTTTAACATCGAGAACTGGGACTATGAGGAGATCACTTTTGATGAGGTATATTTTTTTAAAGTAATCACAGACTGAACAAGTACTTGGTTTATAAACTGTACTGATGTTGTGTTTGCTCTAGATCCTTAGAGCTTACTGTGTGATCCTGGAGAAGCTTCTGGAAAATGAGGAGACTCAGATCAACGGCTTTTGCATCATCGAGAACTTTAAGGGTTTCACAATGCAGCAAGCCTCCGGCATCAAGCCCACAGAGCTAAAGAAAATGGTGGACATGTTGCAGGTGATGGTTTAGCTAAATGGATCTCTGTGTTGTTTTTATTTTTACCTCAAGAAAGTTGTACAACACGAAAAATATCATGGAAGTCTGTAAATTATTGAAAGCATAGTATAACCAGCCTGATCTCACAAAGAAACGTAACTATTTTACGTTTTGTCAGTTTAGTGACTGATTTGTACGAATTCGTACAAGTTCAGTAATACGAAAATGGATGATTTTTAAAATGAGGACTGGCACCCAATATGCCCCTAAACCCAATTTAGGGGGATGAGCAAATCAGACTAAATTGTTTGTATGACATTGTACGATTTCATACGAAGTAGCCACTAGATTACGAATTGCTGTGAGACATCTTTGGTATAAGGCATACTGCATATAGGGAGAACCAGGCCGTGCTGTGACAATACTTTCACATAATTTTTTATATTTTACAAAGCTTAGAGCAGCTTTAACAAATTAACATTTCTGTTAATATAACTTATAATAAAACTATTCAAGCACTTAGTTTTGCATAATCAAAAAAATAAACTAAACTAAAACTTTTTTATAGTTTTAAAACAGATTGTAACATAAGTTAAACTCAAGGAAATTATATACAAAAATTCACAAAAAGCTGACGAAAAATTGTAAATGTTTGTTTTGCAAAGACATTTAACCATATAAAAGAAATTTCTAAAAAATACTAATAAAATTAACTAAATAATATTCAGCATGCTATAACCACACCACTAGGTGCCAGTATAAGTCCAAGATGACAAGTGCACGTTCTAATCATGAGTGCCCAAACATTGGTTTGCTGGTAAAGCATTCCAAAAAGTCTACAGATATATTTATGCCATTCTTTCCACATGATCATTCATTAATGTGAATTTCTTTTTCTTAATGGCAGGACTCTTTCCCTGCCCGTTTCAAAGCAGTGCACTTTATCCACCAGCCCTGGTACTTCACCACCACATACAATGTGGTCAAACCCCTGATGAAGAGCAAACTGCTGGAAAGGGTGAGTTGTGTTTATCATTCATTCATTCATTTTCCTTAGGTTCAGTCTCTTTATTCATTTGGGGTCGCCGCAGCGAAATGAACCACCATCTGATCCAGCATATGTTTTACACAGCGGATACCCTTCCAACTGCAACCCAGTACTGGGAAACATCCATTCACACTCATTCAGACACTCATACACTATGGCCAATTTAGTTTATTCAATTCCGCATGTCTTTGGACTTGTGGGGGAAACCGGAGGAAACCCAAGCAAACACAGGCAGAACATGCAAACTCCACACAAAAATGCCAACTGACCCAGCCGGGACTCGAACCAGCAACCTTCTTGCTGTAAGGTGACAGTGCTAACCACTGAGAAACCAAATTGTGTTTAATTCAGATAAATACATATAATGGAAAAAAAGAGAAGCAACTATAGGTTACCCCATTCAAAGGATTCAATTTAGTCTGGTCTGCCTCACTAGTGTCAAAACATGTCGATTTTAAAGTACATATAAACTTTATATATAAACATACAAAGCTCGCAGTTTGTCTCTTCTGCCTAAATGGAGCAAGGATTTTTTTATATCACCTCATATTTCAGTTTCTTACTGACCAATCAAATGCTCGGTAGTATCTGACTTGTCCCCACCCCCTTCAAGATGGTTATGCAGTTCTCGAAAGGGGGGAGACAGGGGGATGACAAAAATGACAATAATCCCCTTTGTAAAACCCCCATCCCCCTTACCATCACCTTTAGATTAACAACGGTGTGTGTAATGTAAAACTAATCATGCAAATTGAATATTAAAATGCTCTATTTTTGATAATTTATCACATGAAAAATGAAGATTGACCAATCAGAAATGAGTATTGTAATAAGGCACCAAGCGCAAAACAGTTCATTGCGCCATTTGGCGAGATTTTCAAAATGTCTAAGAGAGCAGTTCAGATGAAACTTTTTGCATTCTTTAAAAAGAACAGAACAGAAGGTTTGATATTTAATTGTTTAATATTATTTATGCTGTACCTGCCTTGAATAACAGCATTTCAGAACAGTTTAGGTGGATTGGCGCGAGTGTAACTTAAGCTGTTCTATATTCACTGTAAAACACAGTTAACAGGGCTTGCTTAAAATTAACTTCAGCGACCCAAGTTTTGCTGTTAATATCTAAGTTACAGCAGATTGTAGAATCCCAGTTTCTAAAATGAACCATTATTATTATCCCTAAAATCAGAACGCAACTGATATGATGCATTTTTAGAATCACTGTTGTCCAAATGTTGCCCTTTTTTTCTCGAAAAATGCTTCCAAACATCTCAGCTGCTGTACATCTCCGTACCATGTTTGTTTATGAATGAATCTTGAGCTTTGATGTAAGACAATGATTTGTCGTCCATTCAGAAAGACATTTATGAATGAATCAGCTGTTCGAACAATTCAGTTAAATGAATCATTCAGTGACAAAGACTTGATTTCACCTACTGGTGGTTTAAGTTTCAAATCTCATGACATATTATTAATTTCATTGCATTTATTCCTCCTACGCCCTGTTTAACCGTCAATTCATAAATAAACACTAAATTTATCTAATGCTAACTTTGTTTTTTTCTTTAACATTGTTGTATCAAGAGGAATATTGTTGATTTAATCTGATTGTAAGATATTCTTCCTATTATTATTTCAGTTTATATCAAAAAGCTCATGTAGTTGGGCCACATTAGGTAAACAAAGGGTTGTAAATAAAAAGGTAAATTTATATTTAGTCAATCAAACAGATGCTGGTAGTCAAAGATTTACATTGTTAATTTATTAATTATACCTTTTAATTTCATGATTTTTTTTAAAATGACGTTCTTAAGATTGTTAATGCTTGGTGGTTATTTAAAAAAGAGCATTTTCTCAAATTAAAAATGTATTTAGACATATTTTGTTGTCATTGTGTGTGTGGCTACAGAACTTCACCCAACCCCTATTCCCCTAGCCCCCCCTGTACCTTTCCCCTTGAAATTTATCTACAATTCGACCACTGGCTATATGTGCTTCAGCTCAATCACTCTCACATTGGGTTCCATTAGGAAGGGCTCATCCCTATGGCCTCTTAGAGTCCCTCTGAAGGGATCAGAGCATAAGAATGAGCCCTTTCAAACTGAGTGTAGTGTGTGACACAAAACAACTTCCCTGTTTAAAGCATGGTGGCCTAAAGTGTCAATCAGTTGTATTAAAGGGCCATGAAACCCCCTCGTTTCAGCAGGGTGTTTTCACACCTCTACTTTGGAAAAAGTCAGAAAAGTGGGCGTGTCCAGCTCTGTTTAGGGGGGAGTGTCGGAGGAACTAAAGTGGGAGGGTGTGGGAGTGTCTATTTGGGCACGCGCGAGTTTCAGTCAAAATACACACAGGAGAAACTGATGGTGTTTAACCTACATGGACATCTGTAGTCAAATTTTTTGCCAAAATATTAAATGTTAGACTTTAACTGCAGTTCGGCTCTTTCATTCAGGGATTCATTCATGCCCCTCGCGACAAACGAGTTATTTGATTCGAGGATCTGCTCTAAGCGTGTATTTTTCATGCAATGTTTGATACCGCACGGCGAATGAGAGAAGAAAAAACCTCCGCATTTCCCGGAAACTTAGATGCACACGGCAGGTAGCGTCAGAAAGCCGCGTGTGTTATTCCGGTTACTAAATGCGGTGCTAACATGTTTGCACTCAGTCCAATAGTTAACTTAATTCGATACCAAATCTGTAGAGACAGGACAATCACCAGCAACTAGAGCCGCGTCTTTATGAAGAGAATACTACAAGCGAATCCGGATTTCAGCTTTTGCAGATGAGCCAAACAGCTCTCAGGTAAACAATGGTCCTCCTTAGACACGTAAGTTATTGTTGTCGAGCGTCGCGTACACTGTTAATCCACACGTGATCCAGATGAGCTCTCACAGAGAGAAAATGAAAACGAAACTTATGGCAGCAAACTGTAAAAGCAACACTTCACGCTTGTTTTGCCAACACAACGTGGCGTCTCTGTGGTGTAAACACGGTGACACTAATGAATATTAATGAAGTTGCACAATAGAGCGCGCTGATTGGTTTGAACCAAGCCTTACTCATGCATTAATGCAACACACTGTAAGACGTAATAAGACTCACTCTGGCACAGACGCCCAGTCTGCACGCTGGAATACACGCTATTATGTCATGACCGTGACGCAGCTTCAAAAATTCGTTTCAAACCAGAAGTACGAATTTGCTTGAAATAACGCAAAAACAACCAATTTACACTTTTTAGTGAAATATAGGTGTCCTAATAGTGTTTTTAGCAGTGTGGGACACATATACCACTGTCAACAGCTCAAAAAATGTGTTTTGGTGTTTCGTGACCCTTTAAATCCTTCACTCCAAAGGCCTTTTGAAGTGGCCAGTTTTGAACACTTTGGTTTGGAACGACACCTTAATATGGCAACCATGATTTCTTCTCTGAAGTGTCATTCAGATGGCGATGAACTCTGTTTGGAAAACACCATTACTGACAGGACGGTGATAAAAAAATACAAAATGCAACTGGCTGTTTTTAAAAAATAGAGAGTAGCTACTCTACTGTATTTCCATCATGTCTTCATGATTTAGTTCAAAATACATACATAAAATAAAAATGTGCATTTCACTTGACAGAACTTTTAAAAATATAGCTTGACAAGACAACATTTGACTGCCTTTGTAATTGCTGAAATATTCTTTGTGGCTGTTGTATTCTGGGTAGTTGTTGAGGTGTTGCTTGGTTGTTGTGTTAGCATATTTAGCATGTTGTCACAATGTTTTTTATAGTCTCAGTCTGAAATATCAACGTCTAATGATGTAGAGGCTTGACCTAGTGTAGACGTTACTATTATGACGTCTAGCAGACAATGGATTTTGGTTGCCATACCTGACGAATAAATGTCAGTATTTGACCCCAATATGATGTTGTTTTAAGATGTTGTGGCTCAACGTTAGATTTTGGTCAACACAACCTAAAATCAACCAAATATCAAAGTCGTTTGACGTCAGTATTAGATGTCAAAATAATATTGTCCTTAGATGCTGGCTAGACATTGAATTTTGGTCACCTGACATCACAACCTAAATCTAACCTAATATTAAGGTCTTATGATGTTGCGTGTCTGCTGGGTTATAATGACCCTGTTTTACTCCTCAGCCCTTTTCATTGTGAAAGCTTGCATTTTCTGTTCTTGTTTTTTGTCCCAATTGGTAATTGAGTCTGAACGTTTGGCTGATGAACACTAGCATAAGGTAAATGTTTTGGCTCATTGCTAGTGGGTTTATAAAATAGCAAGTCTTTTATAACACATTGCTAGCATTTTAGCATATGGCTAACATGCAGTAGCCTACATTTTTTTACATGTGACTAGTAAAATTACAATTCACTCATTTGTACATTAAACCAACGTAATTCTATGAAAATCTTTCGAAATTTGGTTGTAGTTTTTACCAAAACAACAAAGTTTCCAAGTTATAAAAGATAAAGCGGAAACAAGTCATACCAGAATTTCTGAGCAGAATTTAAAGATGGTTTTAACAATAGTCAAACATTTTAGTCTCAATAGGAGAATAAATTTTAATCTACAGTTCAATGGTGAAAACAATTTTATCCAAATCAAGATCATTAAAATATGTTTGAAGAGAAAGTGATTTAGACTTTCTGTGTCTTTAAAGGTGTTTGTCCACGGTGATGACCTGGAAAACTACTTCAAGGAGTTTGATGCTGAAATCCTGCCATCAGACTTTGATGGTAAAGGCTCCAAATATGACGGCAAGATCACAGCAGCACATCTGTTTGACTAGGCCATTTTCAGCCTGTCACTGTACAAGAACACGACTGTCGTTTTAGTTGCATTGTATCACATGGCATTCCAATGTGTTTATTTTCCTGAGGGTGAACCCAGAAGTATAGAGATTTTCCCAAGCGAAACTGGATAAGTCTCCAGACGCCATCAAAGAGGGATGAAAACAGATACGATCAGTTAGTTCTCTATGAGGGCCGTGTATTTAGATTTTCCCTGAAATATAGATATTCTTCAGCAACAGATGGCAGATGACAAAGTCCAGGCATTCCTGTTCTTTGTCTTTTTAACTGAGAACGGAAAAGCACTCAGCCTGGTCTAAGTGTTACAAGCAAACTATATATGATGTTCAGAATGTGTAGAATGTTTCTGTTTCTCTAAATAAAGTGCACATTTCAAATGACATTACTGTGTATTTCCTGTGTATTAAAATAATTTTGAAATGTCAAATATTGTGCTGGAGTGATTTGTAAAAAATCTTTTAATGAATTTTCCACAATACGCTTATTTCACGCGGCCGCCATTTTACATAAACGAAAGAATCATTCAGTTAAGTTTAATTTAAACAATTAAATAGCCTACTAGGCATTAAACAAAATCACAATCTCTTAGTAATACGCTTAAGTGTCCTCCAAGGCTTCAGTTCATGGTATCAGGTAAACTCCATGGGTACGCTTTCCTGCTTCAACTGGTAAGTGCTAAAACAATGTAGTCATCTGTAGCACACTCTTGTGTTGTCTGTAATAGTGTTTTCTCTGTACTGAAATATTAAACACGTCCATTTCCCACTAACATTTAAGTGGCGTTTAGTGCACTCTTAAACAGCGTTGATTTGCCATAGTATTCACCAGTGCTCAGCAGAAATGACTGTGATTGGCCGCGAAGGTCATCAGCTCACCGCTCTTCACTGAATGCACAAATACAGAAACACTGGTGCCTTTTAAAGCCAAAAAGGTCAGTCGATTGCTTGTCTGTGGAGCCCAAATCTCATCTACAATTTCAAACTGCTTAGCAACTCTTCGTGGATTTCCTCAAAACTGAATAGTGTACTCCTACTTTCACAGTAAGGACTGAATTTACTCTGTTGTTTATTTACGATTTTGCTTTGATTATGTTAATTGTCTCTCACTCTGTTGTTTTGTTAATTTTTTTATTTTTCTTGTTTTGTTGGTACATTATGTAAAACAATTTAAAATAAAATATGTACAAAAAAAAAAAAGAATGCGCTTAATGGTGCTTAAATTTTAGCAGGAAATAAACAGGTTTTTTATTTCAGTATAAAAATTTAGTATCTTGACAAGTCTAATATAGTAAAAGAATCAGTTCATTAACTTGATTAACTTTGATAAATGGCATCTAAAATGTTTGTTTGGGAAAGAAAAAGTTAGCAAACTAGTGCCATTTTCTCTTAACTTTTAGCCCCGATTTGAACTCGCCGTCTGGTTTTGAGAAACAAATACCTGAAATCACAGGCAAATCGGTGCTCGTTCTCGTGAGTGACAATCACACAGTGTGAACAATCAAGGATGCGATATGGGAGAACCGCTGATGAGTCGCCAACGTTCGTAGATAGGCTTATTTGGCATGCTAAATATCTGGAGCTGACGTCAAAGTGTTCTGATTGAAAATAACATTGGCGATCACCTACAGCCAATGAGAGAGCAGCATCTACTAGTGTGGGGATCTGCAGGCCAGTGGGAGGCTGGGGGAGAAATCAAAAACTCTCATTTTCAGTTTATTTGGACCCGAGAAATGGAGGAAAAACTAGTGGAAATTTGGCAGGAGCACTGTGTCTGTTTGACGTGTCATCTGAGCAATATCACAACCGGGTCGAAAAGTAAAAAAAGTTGAGGAGAAATTGCTAATTCCCTTCAAAAGCCAGGTGAGCAAAATAAGTTCATTTTCTAAAGCTAAAGCTTTCTTATTTCCATTATGTAATTAATAATGAAACATATATTACGTGACCTCGCATTGTTTTCATGTCACTTCTTGAATTTGATTGGTTGTGCGACTTAGTTTGGACAAAGTTGTCTACGCTTCTTCCTATTTTAAAGTCATGCAGTGTGAAACCTCCTGTCACGGATCCATCCTACAGTGTAAACACAGCACCGACAGAACACTACCCCAGATAGTCATGCAGTGTGAAAACATCCATGACACGGCTACTTTGAAAAATCATGCAGTCTGAAGTTAACATTAGCTGAAAATTACATCTGACATCCCTTTTTATTTTCACTAACCACTGTTCACTAACAGCCCTTCGGGTCACTCGCAAAGGGATGAAATAAAAAATTTGTGTCACTTTCTCTTCACTGATAAGACATACAATCAAGTATGTTCCTGTGTGACTCCAAGCAATATTTCCGGGTTACTTCCCACCGCAGCCTTACTTTCGCTTTTAAAATTGCTGCCGCGTGAAATCAGCCTGTATGATGCATAAAATCAAACAAGCTAATTCAGTTTTTCATAGTGCCAAACAATCATTTTCTCAATGTTTTAACCTTGGTTTAATGCAGGGGTCACCAAACTTGTTCCTGGAGGGCCGGTGTCCTGCAGATTTTAGCTCCAACCCTAATCAAACAGACCTGAACAAGGTAATCAAGGCCTTACTAGGTATACTTGAAACACTCAGGCAGGTTTGTTGAGGCAAGTTGGAGCTGAATCCTGCAGGGACACCGGCCCTCCAGAACCGAGATTGGTGACCCCTGGTTTAATGTAACATGTTAAACAAATAACTCCTATAGAGGTTTAATATATCACAACATAGAGAACGATAGTAAGAATGACAGAGATTGAAAAGAATGTTCAATTGAAACATTTTATAAACGCGAACTCATCTACAAAACAATCAAATGTACTTCTAAAAGTTGCCAATAGAGGGAGATATTAACAGACAAAAAGATTATTGCTACAATTTTTACACTCCCATCTACTTCAGCAATTTAGTAAATACAATATGTATTGTGCCACTTTACCAGGAATAAATGATACTTATAAAAGTGCGATGGAATAAAGTGTCGATAAAAAATAAGGCAGCCTAAAACAATCATAGACAATCAATGTGCAGATTTTCAACTTTCACTTGACTTACAACACCAAATATGAACCATTTTTAACCACTCAGACGATTTGATTCAACAACCATTAGTATTTAATATCCTCTGACAACATAGTATTGAAAAATCTATGTAAATAACAGCTTAGCGTTAGCTACAATAGTTGTTCATCTTTACTACTTAACATCTCCTCTCGCCAAGTATGCTTTTTTAAAAACATGAATCTTTCTGCAAATTTTCATCGTGCGTATCGATACACCATTGACTTCTGACCCACTGGTGTCAGTGTGGATTATTGCTGTGTGTGACTTTCATCAGTTTCCCCCCGTGAAAGTCAGAAACCATTGTCTAAGCTCAACACGGAGCATGTATGTGTGTTTGTTGTGCATTGTTTCACACTCATTCTTTTTGCTGGTGGCACTGCGGCTTGTGTTTCTCCCACTGACATACAGCATTAGCGTAACTGACGATGACTTTGTCCATCCAGGAAAGAGGTTGAGGAAAGAGAACAGCGCCTTCAAAGAAGCCCAGGTGACCTCCGTGTAGAGTCAGAGCGAAGATCACGTTCTGCTTCTTCTCTGAGACCAAACACATAAAACCACTTATTAGTCTTTAGAGGAAGCTTAAATGTGATACAAACCAGTGTTTATGTCGTCAATGAAAGGGTGAAAAATGTTTGTTGATGACTGCTTTTCCAAGGCTAAGATGGGACAGAATGGCCTTTGGGGGCTGGTTGCAGGAACTCCAGATGTTCACTGACTGCAATGGTAAATTGGCCAATTTTACAGCTGATAAAAACATGTTTACAGCCTGGTACAATAGATGGCTTTGGTGCATATAGCTAATATTAACCTTCATGACAACTGTGAGGGGGTGAATTGTGAATTGAACTCATTCTTTTAATTTATATTGAGTTATGTTAAGGCCCAATCCTGATTCTATTTTTGTACACCCACCCCTTCCCCTTAGCCCTTGCAACCGAGGGTTAAGGGGAAGGGCTTCAAAATTGACCACTAAGAATTTTGACGGCAATACAGCACCGGCACACGTCATCATATGTCCTCGCAATCTCTTGCTTCATATGAGTTCAGATGATGGCGACTACTGTAGTGATTCCAGTTGTGTAATTTTTTGGTATTTAACTTCAGGAAATCACTGAAGCCATGTATTATGTTATTATTACGATCTAATGTAGCAATAAGATCAAAACAGTACTGTGCATTTACACAGTGGCCATATTCATCAATGTAAACACACTAAAAACAACATTAACATTATAGCAGACACTGTAAAAAGCTAATTTCCAGCCACTAGACTTTTCTGACAGGGTATTCCAGTGTCATCGAGTGACAGAATGTTGTGGGACTGCTGTACAGGAGTTATGATTAGGGATTATAGATCGTGAAATTTAGCGTTTTTTATTTATCTTTTTTTTTTAAATACTAATTTAAAATACTAATTAGTGGAACTCCTTACTTCCGGGTGCAGCTGGAGCTAGTGAATTCTGGGAAATTTTTCCTACCCCTTGGTTTCGAGTGTGGTCCTGAAAAATCTTTGTTTGAAGGGGTATATACCCCTTGCCCTTAGCCCTACGCCTTCAAGCTAAAGAGAATTGGGACACCACTACCCCTTCATGGGCATGCGCAAAATGAGTGGTAGGGGTAAGGGGAAGGGCTAAGGGGTAGAATTGGGATTGGACCTAAGTCTGCATAATTAAGTGTGTGGCTATTTGAGTGACAGCTAGATCTCACTGTTCGGTGTCTCGTCACCTCAGCTGATTCCGGCTGATTAGCCGCTGAACTCGGCAAATACATCATATTTTTGTTTTGTTTTATGTGGCTTTACACAGTCAATTGACCCTTTGCTAAGCCCCACCCTCCTATGTTACTGTTGCTACTCCTGTCAAGCTTTCGTGCCTGGCACGTCTTTCACAATATGTATGTGCCGGTGTCAGACATTGCCAGGTATAAAATGTTATTTTTGGCGAACAGGTGAGATATCTGAGAAAGCCAGACAAAAAAGGACTGCAGTATGCATTACAGAGGTATATTCACGACAGAGTAGGTAACCGATTAGAGAATAATTAAATTCAAATTGAAGCTAGCTTAGCCTAGCTGCCTCATACGCTGACCATTCAACAGCTTACCTCATGCTCAGCAGGAGAGGGGAAATTTACAAATAATCTAATAATATCAAATTAAATTGTGATTTTTCTATTTTTAGCCAAAAAGTCTGATAGAGTAATGTTGTGCAATGCAATACAGCGTTACTTACCGACGAGGAAATACGCATAGACAGTGCTTTTACATAATGCATTCATAGATAGAACAGCCAGAAAGGGGAAATTGA